GAAAGAAAGAAAGAAAAGAAAGAAAAGAAAGAAAAGAAAGAAAAGAAAAGAAAAGAAAAGAAAGAAAAGAAAGAAAAGAAAGAAAAGAAAGAAAAGAAAAGAAAAAGAAAAGAAAGAAAAAGAAAGAAAAGAAAAGAAAAGAAAGAAAGAAAGAAAAGAAAGAAAGAAAGAAAAGAAAGAAAGAAAGAAAAGAAAAAGAAAAATGAAAGAAAGGAAAGAAAGGAAAGAAAAGGAAAGAAAGGAAAGAAAGAAAGAAAGAAAAAGGAAGAAAGGAAGAAAGAAAGAAAGAAAGAAAGGAAGAAAGAAAGGAGGAGATGGCTTTCAGCAGTTGCATGAGCAAATGGAGAGGATTGGTTCCTGTATATGCCACCCTGTCGCCCCTCCTCTCCAAATGTAAAACATAATGTGACAGAAAGGCCGAAAAAGCCCCCTGAAGCAAGAGGCAGGGTCACCACTGTGACCCCTAATGCTACACCAGTGGTTACGGTGTGTGTAAAAAAATATATATCTTAACTATGGAGTTTCACCCACCCCACCCATGTAAATGAGCCCTTACTGTCCTGAAAACGACTAAAAGGCTAGGTTCACACCTATGCAGTTTGCGGGTTTCCAACTTCTTGCTGGGCAGATTAAACCGCATCAAAGACACACTACATGCTTTTCTGCAGCATCTCTATTGAAGTCTATAGAACAAAAAATGCAACTTTTTGCATTTAAAAAAGTCCCTGACCCTTTCCAAAAAACGCACCAGGTGAAAACACGGAAAAGTGAACCTGTACCATAGAAAATCATGTTAAATTGACTGCTGTGCGTTTCTGCAAAATGCAACACAAAAACACATAGGTGTGAACCTAGACTAAAGCTGCTTTCACACTGATACTCTGCAATTTACCTGAGGCTTTTCTACAGGTTAGCTGTACTTTACAAGAGACTTCTATTATATCTTGTGGGTGTGGTGCACTTTCTGAAAGTGTACACCACCTGCATTCAGTTTGTGTTGGAGGGCCACAGGTTGACCACCCCTGCTTTAAGTAGTACTAAAGGCTGAGACTTTTTTTCTTTTTAAATCATTTTAAATACAGTGGGGAAAATAATTTGATCCCCTGTAGATTTTGTAAGTTTGCCCACTTACAAAGAAATGAATGGTCTATAATTTTTATCATAGGTGTATTTTAAATGATAGAGACAGAATATCAACCAAAAATCCAGAAAAAACACAATAAAAATGTTATAAGTTGAGTTGCAGTTCAGTGAGTAAAATAAGTATTTCATCCCCTACCAACCAACAATGATTCTGGCTCCCATAGGCTGGCTATGTACTCATGTGTTACACAGATTGCCCCATCAATTTAAGAAGGAGCTCCTAACGACAATTCATTATGTGTATAAAAGACACCCATCCACAGAATCTCTCTTCTCTTCTTCCAAAAAGCTGTCAAAGGACATCAGGGACAAGACTGTAGACCTGAACAAGGCTGGAATGGGCTACAAAACCATCAGCAAGAAGCTTGGTGAGAAGGAGACAACTGTTGGAGTGACTATTCACAAATGGAAGAAATACAAAATAACCATCAATCACCCTCAGTGTGGAGCTCCATGCAAGAGAGTTAGCCTCATGGGGTAAGGATGATCATGAGAAAAGTGAGGGATTAGTCCAGAACTACACGGGAGGAACTTGTGAATGATCGCAAGGCAGTTGGAACCACAGTCACCAAACAAACCCATTGGTAACACAATACGCCGCCATGGATTGAAATCCTGCAGCGTTCGCAAGGTCCCCCTGCTCAAGAAGGCACATGTACAGGCCCATCTGAAGTTTGCCAATGAACATCTAAATTTCAGAGAAGGATAGGGTGAAAGTGCTGTGGTCAGATGAGAACAAAAACTGAGCTCTTTGACATTAACTCAACTCGCCATGTTTGGAGAAGGAAACATGCTGACTATGGCCCTAAGAACACCATCACTACAGTCAAGCACGGAGGTGGAAACATTACGCTTTGAGGCAGTTTCTCTGCTAAAAGGTACAGGCTGAGGGGCCAAGTATTGTAAAATCTTGGATGAGGACCTTCTTCCCTCAGCCAGAACACTGAAGGTGGGTCGTGGATGGGTCTTCCAGCATGACAATAACCCAAAACATACTGCCAAGGCAACAAAGGAGTGCCTCCAGAAGAAGCACATTAAGGTCACTGAGTGGCCTAGCCAGTCTCCAGACCTTAATCCTATAGAAAATTTATGGAGGGAGATGAATCTTTGAGTTGCCAAGAGACAGCCAAGAAACCTTAAGGATTTAGAGAAGATTTGTAAAGAAGAATGGACCAAAATCCCTCCTGAGATGTGTGTAAACCTGGTAACCAGCTACAAGAAACATCTTACCTCTGTGCTTGCCAACAAGTGTTTCTCCACCAAGTACCAAGTCATGTTTTGCTCGGGGATCAAATACTTATTTTACTCACTGAACTGCAACTCAATTTATAACATTTGTATCGTGTGTTTTTTCTGCATTTTGGTTGATATTCTGTTTCTATCATTTAAAATATACCTATGATAAAAATTATAGACCCTTCATTTCTTTGTAACTGGGAAAACTTGTAAAATCTGCAGGGGATCAAATAGTTATTTTCCCCACTGTATAATGCACAATACTGGTAAACTTTTACTTTAAATGTACTGTATTATTCGCTCCATAAGACGCATTTTTTCCCCCAAAAAAAGGGGGGGAAATGTCAGTGCGTCTTATGGAGCGAATGTAAAGCAGCCGGTCCGGTATTTCTGTCGCCACCATGTCAGAATATCGGGACGGCCACTCAGCTCTTCTCTCCTGCAGGACCTTACCTGTTCCTCGCTCCGGCGCTGCAGTCTTCCTGCGGCGGTTTCTGTGACAGCCGGGTGCCCACTGCGCATGCGAGAGAAGCGCTGCGCTTTGTGAATGGTCCGGCGTCTTCTGGGACACGACAGGGCCCAGAAGGCTTCGGGCCATTCACAAAGCGCAGCGCTTCTCGCGCATGCGCAGTGGGCACCCGGCTGTCACAGAAGCCGCCGTGGTAAGAAGGAAGGACAACTCCGCGGAAGTGGGAGCGGGTACCTGTCAAATTCAGGTACCCGTTCCGCCTCCCTCCCCAAAGGTCCGCAGTCTCTGGTCATCCCCTGTACTGTGTCCGCAGTCTCTGGTCATCCCCTGTACTGTGTCCGCATTCTCTGGTCATCCCCCTGTACTGTGTCCGCATTCTCTGGTCATCCCCTGTACTGTGTCTGCAGTCCATTGGTTCAGAATATTTTTTTTCTTGTTTTTCTCCTGTAAAACCTAGGCGTGTCTTATGGTCAGGTGCGTCTTATGGAGCGAAAAATGCGGTAATTGTAATTCCCTATATTACCTACAGTGTTCTCTGTTCAGATATTATATTCCCTGCACAGAGGCCTTAACCACTTACCTACTGGGCACTTATCCCCCCTTTCCTGCCCAGGCCAATTTTCAGCTTTCAGTGCCGTCGCACTTTGAATGAAAATTGGGTGATCATGCAACACTGTACCAATATGACATTTTTAGCATTTTCTCTCACACAAATAGAGATTTCTTTTGGTGGTATTTAATCGCCACTGGGTGTTTTATTTTTTGTACTATAAACAAAAAAAAAACAAAAAGGGAAAAATGTTTGTTTCTATTATAAAATTTTGCAAAAACAGGTAATTTTTCTCCTTCACTGATGTGCATTGATGAGGCTGCACTGATAGACAGCACTGATGGGCACTGACAGGCATTACTGTTGCAATGGCACGGATAGGCAGCACTGATGATGCTGCACTGATAGGCAGCAGTGATGCCCACTGATCATCAGTGCCGATCACTCTGACAATTGCCGGTTATCAGCAGCATCAGAAAAGTGCAGCCGATAACTGGCAACTGTATTTACCAGGTGATCTGCTGTGTCATTGGGCACAGCCGATCACGTGGTAAAAGGCCACTGTGATTGGCCGTTTACAGTATCATGTTACTGACATGTATAGACGGTGTACTGAACTGTATGTGTGCTGCACTGTGTATACCGACATGTATGAACAGTGTACTGAGCTGTATGTGTGCTGCACTGTATTTTTCTGATATTTAAACAAAGCATTTTGCATGCAGGCCATCTAATCGGCTGACCAACTAGTTGATTATGAAAGTAGACGACAACTATTTTCATAATCGATTATGTCAATTAGTTGTTTCAGCCCTAGAGTCATTAATGTAAATTATGTGCTTTTCAAACTTTACATGATTCTTGTGCCTTATATTCATTATTGTATATTAGATCTGTATATGTCATCTCTAATCTCACAGTCCATTATACCTTACTGAGCTTTACTGGGCATGCATGAACATTTTTTTACTCTTTTTCCCAAGACCTTGTTAGGCCATTCTTCGGCTAAAGTTGAGAAGATGCTGCCTTTTAGCATGAGGTCCGCCAACTTTTAACCAGTAGTACATGTAGCAAAATTTCACAGGGGTCATATTATTTATTACAGGTACTTATATAGCGCCGTCAATTTACGCAGCACTTTACATATATATTGTGCATTCACATCAGTCCCTAACCCTCAAGGGGCATACAATCTAAAGTCCCTAACTCACATTCATACATACACAAACTAGGGCCAATTTAGACAGGAGCCAATCAACATACCAGCAGGTCTTTGGAGTGTGAGAGGAAACCATAGTACCAGGAGGAAACCCACGCAAGCACAGGGAGAACATGCAAACTCCAGGCAGATGGTGCCGTGGTTGGGATTTGAACCGACAAGCCGAGTACTGCCAGGCGGAAGTGCTAACCATTTAGCCACTGTGCTGCCCATCATATGAGCAAATTAGTAAATAACTTGGTTCTACTTTAACCACCTCCCGCCCACCATATAGTCCAATGACGGGCGCAAGGTGGTTCTCTCGTTCTGATAGGACGTCATATGACGTCCTTCCATTCTCACCGCGCATGCGCGGCTCAGGGAGCGCGCAGCAATCGGCGGTGCACTGTGTCCCTCGGACACAGCAGATCACCGATCACGGAAAGAGCCGAAGATGTCGGCTCAGTCATGTGATCAGCTGTGTCCAATCACAGCTGATCACATGTAAACAGGGAAATGCCGGTTATCGGCCTCTCTTCATGAGCTGTCACGTTGACAGCTCGAGAGGAGAGGAGAGCCGGTAATCGCCATTCCGTGGAGGGGACATGTACACTGATCATCAGGGCACTGATAATCAGTGTGCCCTGATGATCAGTTTGGCCCCAGAAGTGCCACCTGTCAGTGTCCATCAGTGCCAGCTGTCAGTGCTGAACAGTGCCACCTGCCAGTGCCCATCAGTGCCACATATCAGTGCCTACCAGTGCACATCAATGCCACATATCAGTGCCCATCTGAGCTGCCTTTCAGTGTCACCCATCGGTGCCAGTCAGTGCCGCCTAACAGTGCCACCTAACAGTGCCAGTCAGTGCCGCCTAACAGTGCCATATATCAGTGCCACCTATCAGTGTCCATCAGTGCATCTTATCAGTGGCCATCACTACAGCCTCATTAGCGCACATTAGTGAAGGAGAAAAATCACTTATTTACAAAATTTTATAACAAAAACTAAGAAAAAAAAATTTTTTTTTCAAAATTTTCAGTAGTTTTTGGTTTCAGAAAAAATAAAAAACCCAGAGGTATTTAAATACCACCAAAATAAAGCTCTGTCACAAAAAAATGATAAAAATTTCATATGGGTACAGTGTTGCATGACCACGCAATTGTCAAAGTGTGACAGCGCTGAGACCTGGAAATTGACCTGGGCAGGAAGGGGGTATAAGTGCCCTGTAGGCAAGCGGCTAATACACGTTGAGATTTCAATTGTTTACATTTTAGGAAAACAGCTGAAACATATTTAAATTGTATTATCTGCCAAAAGATTTTAATTCTGTGGAGCCAGCCTTGTGATTCAGGCAGCACAGCTAAACTTGTAAATTACTTTTCAAGTCAAAATAGCCGCTTTAATTTGTATTTGATCTGCCTGGAGTAAAGCAAATTACATGTTTTATTATGCGAATAGGAGAAGGAAAAAAAAAAATGGTTTTATAAACCACCAAAGAGTAGATTATAAAGGCACATTCCACTTTTAGGAGCATGTTTCTTATTACACCCATATGGTGTTACACGAAATATGGTAGCAATCCCCAACCCCCAACCTCATTATCCTCATCCAAGTCACAGGGTGCTTTCTTTTCTCCTGTTTTTGCAACTGGTATGCATGGCTCCGCCCACACAGCCACAGCATGCATTCACAAGATCTTTGAATGGGAATATTACAAACCTGATCTGCTACCAAGGCAGTAAGAATCACAGACTGCAATACAGCACAAGTGGATGATGTCACTGCACTTGTAGACTAGTGTTTAATTCCTTTAGCCCCATAGCAAAAGGTTTGTACCTGTGTACGGACCTAAGGTTAAACAATGTAGGAGATGGCACACACCATACATTGATCATGGCTGCATTGCTATGCAGGCTACAATGCAGCAACATAATAAAAGGCACATATTTATTTAAGTCATGTTTTATTTATTTCAGGTACTTCTATAGCGCCGTCAATTTACGCAGCGCTTTACATATATATATATATATATATATTGTGCATTCACATCAGCCCCTAACCCTCAAGGGGGTGTACAATCTAAGGTCCCTAACTCATATTCATGCATACACATACTAGGGACAATTTAGACAGGAGCCAATTCACCTACCAGCACGTCTTTGGAGTGTAGGAGGAAACCCACACAGGCACAGGGAGAACATGCAAACTCCAGGCAGGTGGTGCCGTGGTTGGGATTCGAACCAACGACCCTAGTACTGCCAGGTGGAAGTTGTAACCATTTAGCCACTGTGCTGCCCCATGTAGATGCAATTTTTTTTTACAAAAGGTGGACTACACCTTTAAAAAGGACAGACTAGAACCAGAATGAAAGGCAAGAAACATTTTTAAGAAGTATTTAAAACCTTTAAAAAAAAAAATAATGTTTTTTGGAATGAACAGACTTTCCCCTAATAAAACCACATTCATTATTAAAGAATGTTCGAAAAAAACTTTCAAGCTCTCTCCTTTAAAAAAACTCTCTCGTCACTGGTCGAAAAATGATTCGAAAATGAAACAAGCATTCTTAAAAAGAAAAAAAACTTTGAGTGAAATTCTACTAGTGTATGGCCAGCTTAAACGCAACCCTTTATAACTACTGCCTCAACCACTACAGAAAAAGCAAGCTCAAGGCTACCAAACAGAGGTAACCAGAGGTCATCTCAGGCTGGGAAGCCATGAATTAGGAGTGAATATGCCGATTTGTCTGTTGGCTTGCAATGTTCTCATCCTACAAGAATTCAGCAGCTTAAGAAAGAAAATTGTGCCGAACAAGAATAGGATTACTGAAGATCCCAACAAAGGAACCAGTGAGAGTGTAGAAAGAAATCAGGGGTGAAATCTGGCTGCTAACAAACAGAATTCACCCAAAACAGCCTAATATTAAACTCTTCAATACACATTTATAAAAAGCCAAACATTTCTTCACAGAGTGTGTATGTTTTCTGACAGGAATGTATGTTGTCGATATTTATAAGTATTCATGAGGCTATACAAAAACACATTAAAGAATTCGGACTGCCTCCAAATTTATCATGCTGTCTGCTAGCACATCTCACTTAAAGCGCTGTTAAACCCAAAAATGTATCCTAGACTGTAAGCTCCAAGGAGCAGGGCACCTCTAATCCCTCTTGTATTGAACTGTATTGTTACTGTATTGTCTCCCTCCATAATGTAAAGCGCTGAGCAAACTGTCGGCGCTATAGAAGTCCTGTATAATAATAATTATTATTTTGCAGCTTACTAATCATTACATGTGGTGGCTGCATCAGTTTTCTTTTTTCCCTCTGCTTTCATCTGGTGATCTGGCTAGCAACACACCTCTGGCATTAGTGAGACACCACTCAGCAAAGGACACAGCAAACAGTAGCTTTACCAGCCTGGGGTAGGATGGGAGTTATGAATGTATTAGCAGATTTGAATACAATAACAAAGTGCAGCCAAACTCCAGCTCACACTTTACTGCAACAGAAAAAAAATGTTTGCTGTAACTGCTTATAAAGGTTTTAGATGAATAAATAAAAGCCAATCATTTTAAATCACCCCTGCCTAGTAACCGGATTGTCTCATCCATGTAAACTGATACATTCTGCTACACAGCTCGAGCTTCTGAAAAAAAAGCACACTTTCTGACTGAATCACTTGGTGAAAACAGAAGCCTAAAAAGCCTAAAATGGAAACTAATACAGTCATCACATCTAAGAATTTGTAAGCTGTAATAATACATGTTTGCTTGGGTTTAATTACTGCTTTAAGACAACAAATGGCAAGTTCTATTGATTCATAGTCACTTTTTCCCTGGTCCAGACCTATTTAGCTAGGGCCTTCTACTGCAGTTGTGTGTATTGAGAATAGCTATTCACAGCACAGCAGAAAGTTAATGCAAAGACCTAGAATAGCCACCTTTAGCATGCCTTCAAGTAGCAAGCCAGAAATAATTAGCAGTATTTCATATCTATAATATGCATTTCTACATGCAATATACAGGCACAAACACTTTTTTTACATTAAAGTAGAGGGTAAATCTCGACTGGATTACAGGTCACTTTCTAAAGCACAGTGCACCATAAACTGCTTTAAAAAAAAAAAAAAAAAAAAAAAAAAAAGTGTTTTTACCTCTTTTTTCATTATTTGCTGACTCCCGGTGCTGCTGGTCTCTTGCAACATCTGCTAATCTACATGCACTCAAGCAAGCACCGTCACCAAAACAGGAAGTGCCTAAACTAGAAACTGCATGGCAGGAGCAGCAAAAATTATGTTAATGCTTAATTCCAAGTATGTATCTTTTTTGCAACGTTACATGGTTCCAGCTTGGACCAATGTAGGTTTACATATTCCGCCAATTCCTGTGGAAGTGGAGAATCACTGTAGTAACTGGTGCTAATATGTACTTTAATAGCAGTTACTCCAATGAAAGATACAGCAATACTATGTCCATGGATACACTTCTAATCGAGAGAAAAAAAACGAACAAAAAAAGCATAACCTGCTAGACATTATAAAATCCATGTGTCACGGCACTTTGCCCATCTGAAATTGTGATATACTGTTTCAGAGGTTTTTGGCAGAAAATTTTAAATCTTACTCTACCCAATCTAATATAGTTAAAGCCCAACTCTGGGCAGAAAAAAAAATCCTGGGCTGTGACTGTATTGCAAGGGTTAATAACTCATTCAGTTCAGGGGAGAGGAGAAACAGTTTTACATACCTGATCCTCCACACCTCCAAAACCCAAGCTGTGGATTGTCCCTTGGCATCTTTACATTCAGAGCATAGCTATGGACCTTGGTGTCATCTTGATGATGTCAGGACCCTAGACTGGTAGCACACAAGAGTGCAGAAGGTATAGTGTCATGTCTACATGCGGGGAGGAGTGGAAAATTGGGTAAAGAGATCTCCTTTTATGGTACCCCTAGACATAAATTAAGTAATGAGTAATTAACCCTTTTTTTTGTCTGGAGTTGGGTTTCAAAGTGGTTCTAAAGACTGAAGGTTTTTTTTTACCTTTATGCATTCTATGAATCTAAAAAACCGTCAGTGTGCAGCTCGCCCCTTATACTCACCTGAGCCCAATCCAGTGATGTGCACGTGAGCAGAAGCTCTCCTGGATCTCTGCCTGCTCACTGGCTAAGACACAGCAGTGGAAGCTAATGGCTCACACCGCTGTCAATCACAGTCAGTGACGAGGTAGCAGAGGGCAGGGTCGCGCCGCACTGTGTCTCTCAGACACACAGAGGTGACTTAGGAGCGAGCACGCATGAATGTCCTCAGAGCAAGCAGCTTGCTCTGGGGGCATTCAGCAGGAGGGAGTGGCCTGGAGCACCAGTGGGGGACGAGAGGAGGATCGGGGGCTACGCTGTGCAAAACCATTACACAGAGCAGTTAAGTATGCCATGTTTGTTATTAAAAAAAAAAAAATTTTTACAATCATTTCAAGTGTAGTTACAGAACGTATACCAATCAGCCATACCAGGTAAAGTGAGTAATATTGATTATCTCATTACAATGGCATCTGCAAGTAGATGGGATGTATTAGGTAACAAGTGAACATGTTGATATGTTGAAAGTGAAATAAAAAGGGGAAGTATAAGGATTTAGGCGACTGACAAGGGTCAGACTGCAGTGGACAAATGGGTCAGAGCATCTCCAAAACGACAGCTCTTGTGGGATGTTCCTATTCTGCAATGGTCCTGTCCTACAAAAAGAGGTCCAAGGAAGGAAAACCAGTGAACCCATGACAGGGTCACTGATGCATGTATGGAGTAATGGCTGGCCTGTACGGTCTGATGAAATAGAAGAGCTACTGTA